AACGCGGGTTCAGGCGCGGCTCCCTCTCCCCGGTGCCACGCGGGACACGGCTGCCCCCGGCCGTGGCCTTTCTTACGGCCTCGTGGATGAAGCCATCGTGTTAGCGACATCCTGCCTGGCGCGGGCAAGAAGCGGCTGCTTCGTGAGAGGGACCGCAGTGCCCCTGCCTTGGGCGGGCGAGTGGCCTCGGGGCCCAGTCCAGCAGAGAGCGGTGTGTGACACTGTCCCAAATCACCACTGCCGCGCGGCCTCAAAGCGACAGCCCCTGACGGGGTGGGGGTGTGCCGCTTGTGCAAAGAAATGCTAGATTGCACACCCGAAAACGGCATTGTCTCCACGAGCAGGGCATCGACTGAACGGGACCAGCCAGCACCCATCGCGCCTTTTCTTTGCTGTAGTTCAAGTTTAGAAGAAAAGGGCCGTAACAAATTGGTATTCTTTGTTATACCTGCAACACAGGTTTATCCAGAATGGCTGCTTGGGTGGTGTTGTGTTGTTCTTCACCTCGAAAGTGAGATATGCAGCTAACCAAACCCACTTATCTGGTGCAAAAACTAGGTTTGACAAGGTAAACTGATTGCCAGATTTGGGGTCAGGAAGGAATTTTACCCTGTGGTCTGATTGGCACGGACCGTGTGCGTGTGGGGCGTTGCCTTCCTCTGTAGTGGGGGCGAGGGGGCATGGCTCTCTACCCAGCATCTCTTGAGCATATATTGACAATGTTTAGTAGAAGCAGGAGGTTTTCTACTGTGATTCCTCTGCTTTACCTGTGGCATGTTTGGGTGTTAGGTCTATGTTGTGTCAGGGCTGATGGTGGTCTTAGGTAGAGTTTACTTGATGCATTGTGTAGGGTGATTTGGTTAGGGATGACCCTGCTTCAGACGTTGGACTGGACTAGGTGACCTCAGAGGTCCCTTCCAGCCCTCTACGATTCTCTGCTTAACCCTCCTTTAAAATCTCAGTGCAACTTTATCAAGAGATGGGTTTGTTCAGGGAGGGAGGAATTGCCTATACTTGTGCCTGTCCCTTGATGCTACTGTGAAGTTTAGCAATTTCTGTATCCTACCTCCAGTTACTCTACATTTTATCAGCTGTTGAAATAAATCTTTTAAGATGGATGGCTTGACACTACAAGATTCAGATATCAAGACAATCCTTTCCTTGCTGTGCATGCAGCTTAGATCTTAGACAAGGTAGAAGTGATTCAATTGGAGACTTGGAGGAATTGTTCTGGAAAATGGTTCTCATAATTTTCCTTTTATTGGCATTCAAGGAAAAAATGAATAATTGACTGAGTTATAGTTACGCTCACAAGCGGTCTCTAAATCCCTCAGTATGCTGCACTCATAACCCTGTATTCTTAGATTGCAAATGGCAAGTCTCTAAGAAAAAAAACCTACAACTGAGAATCCACACTTATAATGTCACCTGTGACTGTCTGGCTCCTTGTGGGATAATTATAAGCTTCCTCTTGATGTAATTTACCAATTACATTTTCTTTCAAGGGAGGCCTTAATGTTTTTGGAGAGTTGGCACTTTGTTGTGCACAAGCAGAATGAAGTAGAATTGTCAATTATCAGTAAGTTGACAAGAAGAAAGGGCAAATAATTTTGAGAATTTTTATTGATAACATGAAAAGGGGATGGGGATTTTTCAAACTTGTATGAAAAAAGTAACAAAACATAAAAGCAGTGTGAAAGACTTTTAAATATTTAAAAGTGCTGTGATTATTTCTTTATTGCAGTATGACCTGCCAGCTCCCTTCAGAACCACACTTACCGAGACTCTAAATGAAAGCTTTGCAATGAAGTTTTTTATTATGAACTCCATATTTAGACTTAGTAAGCCATAATTTTGGAAGGTCTTAAATTACTAAAGCCTGAAGCCTAAACTTGTGGTAACTAGTGAGTTACTGCGTATCTGCCCTTAACAGCTTTCTGTAGTGGATCAGGGCATTGAAAATGATTTAGCGTGATAAAGTAGCTTTCAAGTAGATGGGAACCCATCTTGAAGAACTGGTCCAAACTTTTAGATTAGATCCGTTGCGCTAATGGTGTTTAAAAGCTCCATGCAACTTTGAAATACAGAACTCTAAAGCTCTTAGTTCAGAGGTGATATCTTTCATTAGACCAACTAAAAATAACAAAAACATTTCTTTCTTTACAAAATAGATCCCCGAACCATGCAGCTTTGTACCTTCCAAGGTAGTCTGCATCTCCTTATGGAGGAACAGAGGTGTTTTCTTACAGAATGGCACTTACCATTCCTATTCCAATAATGTACCAGAATTAACGCTGGTTTAAAATATCTTATCTGTCTTATGCGTGGCACTGTTTTGTGGCTGGTAGTGCTGCTTGCTGTCCATGCAACTAAATATTTAGGTTTAGATTTTAAATCTCTTCTAGATAGAAACAGGGTATGGAACTCTAATAGGTTTTTCTTAAGCCCCTTTGTTCATATCACATGTCTTGGATATAATGCAGGGTTATCTGATAAATAATAAAACCTCCAGATATTTCTGTGAACAATGCGTAAGAGGCTCCAAAGGCAGTAACTCAAGGACAAGTGATTTATCCTGCTTGTGCTTGCGTATAACAAATGCATTTGGAGTTGCTGCTTGAACTGAAAGAATGGTGGTCTCATTAGAAAGGGAGTATTACTCAGGAAACCTGCAGAACTACTGCAGATCTAAGTGCCTTCAATTACGAACCTAATTTCAAATAAGTATTACATAGGTGAAACAGGAAATATCAATAATGCTAATACCTGTTGAACATAGGATTCTTTCAGCCACCATCATAGGTGCCAAATTTTATTTTTTCTAGGGGGGACACCTAAGATGATGGACATGTGCCCCCTGCCCTCAGCCCTCCAGTATGTGGGGAATGGGGTGGGTATGTGCGGAAGGGGAGGTATAAGCACAGGCGATGGTGATGCTTGGGAAGGTGAGAGGGGGTACAGGCAACACAGCAGGGGTATGTGCCCCCTGAGATTTCTGCATCCGCAATGGGGCACAGGGCTGCAGCCAGGATCAGGGGTGACTGTTGCCTCCTGAGTCTGGGGGGTGGCACAATTTGTGAGCAGGCCTGGGAGCGGGCCAAAAGCCCCATATCCACTCCTATACTTCTGTGCTATGGCTTAGTTCCTCTCCCCACTCAACATGCCACCGGCTTACATGGCAAAAAAAAGTCCCCGTCCTGAGTGGTGCCGAGTCAAGAGCCAATCTCAGGGGGGCATATGCCCCCCCAGTTCCTCTCCTACAAGTTGCCTGTGATCAGGATGGACCAGTTCTGGGTAGGAGTTGCCTCCACAGCCCAGTGGGTGGGACCCAGTGCCGTAGGGAGCACCATGCCACCATGACCGCCAAGGTGAGGTGCCCTCTGCCTGCCCGGCAGCAGCAGGGGCATAACTTTGTGTTGCTGCTGTACCTCACCTTGGTGGCCACGGTAGCATAGTGCTCCCTACCCCGCTGGGTCCCTCCCGCTGGGCTGTGGAGGTGGTTTCTGCATGGAGCTGGTCCAGCTCTATGCCCCACTGGGCACAGAAATCTCAGGGGGCACATCACCCCACCCCCCACTGCATCACCTGTGCCCCCACACCCCTCTCTGACATATCTCCTGTGCCCCCCCTTGCTGTGTTGCCTGTGCCACTTCACCCCTGCCCCCATAGAGTTACCTGGAGGGAGCTGCTTGGCTGCCACGTGCATGTGTGAATGCATCCCCTGCCTCCAGCCACCCTCCCCACTCCCCCCAGTCCCATGCAGCTCTGAGACCCTAAAAGGGGAAACCCATGTTTTTCTTCATTAAAGGAGAAAATCCACATTTTTCCGCAGTGAACGTAAAACCCGGATCCCTCGCCTCAGTCATTGTTCCTAAGGAATATTACATAATTTTCCTCGGGTTTGGGCCCCAACAGTCTTCCTCTGAGGGGGCCAGGGCTCTTGGGCCCCCATGTACTCAGTACCTATGGCCACCATCCTTATTCTAGAAAGGATCAAACAGTAGTTTAATGCTGGTGCTTTGTGTTACGGGACAGTAGAGAGAGGGCATTTGTACACGCTACAAAATTGACATTTAAAGCAGCTTAAATGCCCTCTTGCACAGCTTTAATGGCATTGTTGTTTCCATGCTTGGCAGCGTATTCCGCTTCAAATGACTTTGGTACATAGCAAGATAAAACACCTCCGATGTGTTTTAGTTTGCTACCTAGCAAAGTACAACAGTTCATGGAGCGCTGGAAGCCAACGTGCACAGGATTAGGTGGGCCCTGCACAGCTCAGGGGCTGTGGCACCTGGCAAAAAACCATGCAGGGCAGCGAGCCTGATCTTTTTTTTTTTTCCTCCCTGGAGCCTGCCTACCTGCCTGAACTATGCGGGGGCCCGGTGCTTCCCTTCATGGCTGTGGTGGGGTTGGTGCGTCCCTCCATGGCTGTGGCGCCTCTCATGGCTGTGGCGCACAGCTAAGGGACCACTCAGCCCGCCAGCAGCTTGCCCCCCTTCCCCCCCCCACCAAAGAGGCAGGTAAGGATCGGACCCCCACCCTTGTGTACGTCACAGTGGTTTAGTTTAGGTTAATTCTCCCTAAATTGAAGCGGTGTTGTTAAAAACCCACTGTTTAACTGCCACTCTGTTCTTCAGTTTGTATTAGCTAGATTTTCTAAAGTTGTGGGTATTTAAAAAAAGGAAGTATTCCTAGGCTCCTGATAAATAAATAAATAGTGCATTTTTCCAAACACAAGGAATTCTTAGGGCACTAACTAAAATGCTAACAAGGAATCTTCTAATGGTACCATATAAAAGGCTTTAACCTGGCTTCTGAGATACACTGGGGCAAGCCTATGTATCTTCTAGTACCAAATAGCTTCTGATTCCCATAAACTGGAACTTGGTTAGAAACTTTTTTTCAAAATGTTTCTTTCAATTGCATTTTGATATAATTAACAACTTAATAAAATTAGATCTTTAAAAACCCAGAGTGTTTTCTAAGTCCCTGTTATGGTGAAATACTGACGTTTTTGGCTTCTGCTTCCTTACACACCCTTTTTTGTTCTTTTTGAGCTGTGGTAACCTGAGTGCATTTCTTGGCTTATTGGTACAATTGTACTGCTCTACTGTTTCTTGTGCAGTTTTTAAATGTGTACAGGGTGTGGATTAGAAAATGCATTAGCTAACACGCAAGTTTGTAAACTGATACCGTTTGTGTGTAGATTGA